GGGGTCTCTGGGTGCCTTGCCCCTGTACCCTCAATGTTCTCTAGGTTTCTGTTCCTTCCCCTTCATTATCTTGCTCTTACCAGGACTGTAGATATGAAAGGCAGGAAAGGAGAATACAGGAAAGAGACTGAGAAGCAAAGGGTCAAAGTTTGCTGGGACACAACACTACCCATAATAAAGGGATCCTGCAGCCTCTTGCAGATTTGTTAACTTGCCGCATGTAATGGAGTAAGGGTAACCAGTAAGTGAGCATGTACTTAAATGCCAGTATTTAACCAGCTTTAATTCTTTCCTGGAATATAGCTGGGAAAACAGATAAAGTGTGCATTTCTTATTCCTTGCCTGACCTGATTATTTATTTACCCTAGGTACACCAATAATACTTTTTAAAAAGAGCACTTTGCCCAGCCAATCATCAATTGGAAATGTGGGTTAGTAGAGTAAGGTAATGAAAGCAAGGGGGTATTTCAAGAGAATCAGATCAACATCTTCATTAATATTAGAAGATCTCATTTTTCCTGTCTGTATAAAAATATACAAAATGGAAATAACTAATGACATGATCTCCAAGAGGACAAATGAACTCAAAGGTATCACTGGGACTTGGTGAAGTAGAACTTTACCCTGGCACATGGGTATATCTTGCTCAAAGGAAAGAGACCAGAGGGACACGAAGGGGCATGTGTCTGTAGAGGTATGGAAACTCCACCAGAAACTACAGTGCATTTTGTGTGAGTGTCACAGGAAAGAGCAGAAGTGAGGGTGTGCATGGCGTGGGAGGATGATTGGATGTGAGGTGCAGAGGATCTCTCCTACTTTGGATCACAGAACTGGGATAGAGGTGAGAAAGAACCGTACTAAGGGGCTTCAATCATCCCCCAAACAACAAGGCTTACTACATAAAGCAGAGGAACTGGTAAAGGTAATGGCGAGACTTGAGGAAATCATATCCCTTTAAATGTAGAGAAAAGATAGGTGGGAACCTGTGGCCTGTGACCCTAAGAAGGGAGAAACTCAAGAGGGATAGTGGGCTCTGCAAAATGAACTGAATTGTGCCTAATCCTAGGGATGGGGCAACGGGACACATCTCAAGATACTGTTGTGTTTTTCACAATGTTTGGTTTAGAAAAGAACATGTACAATGATAAAAGGAAGGGCACAGCACCAAGGACGAATGGAGAAGAGTGACATATTTCTGTGAGGGTAGTGCCCAACTTGAGCTGAGGCTTGCAAAAAATTGCTAAACTTGTAAACACAACACAACACAAAACAAAACATGGTGGTAGTGGATTATTCTCAGTTATGATTAAAAAAGGGATGAGGGCCAGGACTTAGGGATCATGGCAGCAGTAAATAGGATAGAGAAAGTAAGATGACCCAACTCCCATTTTATGCCTCACCTTTCCATAAAAGCACAATGGTCTGAACTAGGAAGATGTAAAGAAGTGGCACTAGAGGAGTATGGGACACGAAGGCAGGGGGATGTGGCATGCTGATGAGTGTTGTGTTTTCTTCATCACATTAAGTCCAAATCTCCAGGCCCTGTGGTCCCCCATCCAGACCCGTGGACAATCCTACAGAATGAATAACAGAGCCAAAGTACTTGATCCCTGAAAAAACTCCTGCGAACTGGGAGGGTTCCAAAAGAGTGTCCCAATTTAGCTAAGGGAGAAAGATTCAGTTCCTACTATACGTAAAAATGTAATTTAGAGAAGTTTTTAAAGCCCTTTCAAAAGGATAACAATTGAGAACTAGCACACATTTGAGAAAAACAAGCCAGACCAAGTAACACCATTGGCTCCCCTCTCCTCCTACACAAGAGCACAGGCTGGAGAGGGATGTGTGATGACTGGGCTTTGGCCATTCCTGAGCCTAGGGCACTGTCTCAAGCTTCTGTGACTTTGTTACATAGTGTTCCTTCAAGTGGAATAATCTTCCCTTTGTATGGCTGTTTGTTCTTCAAAACTCAGCTCGAACTGCACCTCCTCTGGGAAACTTTCCCTTCTGTCCAGTATGATCTGGAAGTCCTTCTTGTACTCTGATTGATTGTGTTCTCCCAAATTCACATGTTGAAATCTCTAATGTGGTGGGTAGAAGGTTGGGCCTTTGGGAGGTGGTAAGGTCCTGAGGGTAGAATCCTCAGGAATGGAATCATGCTTTTAAAAAAGAGGCCCCAGAGAGTTCCCTATCCCCTTCTGTAATACATAAAGGTACCATATGAAGATACAAGGAAAAATCTGTCACCAGAAAGAGGGCTGTCACCTGAGCATGCTGGCACCTAAATCTGACTTCCGACCTCCAGAACTGTGAGCAATACATTTCTGCTGCTTATAAGCCCCTCAGACTGTAGTATTTTGTTTCAGCAGACTGATTGGACTAAGACAATCAATCCCTTATCCATGCTCTCCAAGCACTCCAGGCATTACTACCACATTCTCTCTCAGAATCACAACGGACAACTTCCTTATCTGCCTCCTCCAGGGTCTGCAGGTCCTAAAGGAGGTTGTAGTTTCAAAGCCTGGCAAAGGGCCAGGCACACAGGGGACCCTCAAGACATGGTGATTGTTGGCAAGAGTTCTGTTGAGAGGTTCAAAGTCAACCTGAAGGGAGTTGTCTCTAACTGTGTTCCAGGAACTTCGCCAGGTTCAGACTTTTACCAGTGACTTGGAGAAATGATATACTTCCAGAGGCCATAAAGCTAGGAAAGAAAGCTAATCAGATAAAGGGCTCAAGGTTCAAGATCTAACAATCTACAGTCTGGCCATAAAACTTGAAAACATACACAAGTTTTTTATATTGATCAATTTTTTTTATTTTTCTGTGGCATGCTAAGGCACAAGTGTTTTTGTCTTGTTTTGGGATAAAAATCAGAGACAGATCATCAGAGGCAATGCATCACAGATGAATATGCAGACTCTGAAGAAAATGTTGCATCAATGCACCCAAGTCACTGAACTATACTCTGAACTACATATTACTAAAGGAGGACAATACATTGAATATATGGTGTAAAATCACTAACCATACTGCATGTTATAATGTAATACTGGTAAGCCATTTACTATGCATGTTCTTCTGTGTTTCCAGAATTTATGGCTACTCTATAGAAAGACAACTGAAACCAACAATAAAATTTTAATATACATATTCATGGAGCTTTATGTTAGGTCTCAAAAAAGTTACTTGGAGATCTACAGTATGCAGAATATCTGGCTTTATTTATCCATCCACTGATCCATCCATTCATCCATCCATCCATCCAACTATACTGAGCACTCACAATATGTAAAATACTATAGTAGGATCTACAAAATATAGTGAAAAATAAACACTGCTTTCCCTTAGCTTATATCCTAGTAGAAGGAAATGGATAATAAGTAATCAAACAGAATAATTCCAAATGTTGATGAGAGCTGTGAATAAAATAAAACAATGTATGATGGGGTTAGGTAGCAGCATCTTTGGAGCGTGCAGGAAGTTTATGTAAAGATCTTGGTGGGGTCTGGCTGGCACCCTGATGTGATTCTAGAATGTGCTGTGACTATTTAAAATAAACTGCAAGCTGGGTCATAGTAATAGAAGCAGAGCACTGAGGTTAAGGGCCATGACAATCCTACTGCCTCTGTAGCATCTACAGCATGTCTAGACCAACTTCTGCAGTAGCAAATACTATTCTTTAGAAGAGTCATGGTATGTATCTAGAAACCACATCTTATGAGGTCAGGTTGAGAGAACTATGGGAATTTAGCCATCAGAAAGAACCACTAGGTAGTCATCTTTAAAACATCCAAAGATTCGAGATGTTCAGAAGAGAACAAGTCCATGCTATGTGACTTCAGGAGTCTACACCTCAGTTACTGAGAAAACAGCACAGTGTAGTTCAAAAGAGGGGTGACACTTCTAATACAATTAAACCTATACAGAAATGAGATAGGTTTTTGAAGAAGTATTCCAGCAGAGGATGGGTAAACTCTTTTAAAGATGAGGGATCCCATATATAGGCAAAAGATTCCCTTTGAGGACACAGCTTCAGGAAAGGGGCACAGTTTTGTTTCTTTCAGTGGAAGATCTTTTCATCTTGGAATGCCAAATCATCTTTAAAATATTTGAGACTCAAGAACAATCACACAAAATCTTTTGGATCTTTCCTTCCTCCTGTGAGCTTTGTTTCCTTGGAAGAGTGGTTTCTTGAAGAACAGAGACAGTGCTCTGCCCCTCGTCATGGGTGTCTCTTGCCATTGCAGCAGAATGATGTCTTTGTGGGAGGCCTGGCTTTTTGCAGGAAGATGTGGACTCTTAGCCTTCCTTGCCTCAGCAACAGTGAGGTGGTAGAGAGGGGACCCTCTGACTGCCTACCTTATGGCTAATATTAAGAAGTAACCTCCACTCACCAATACTTCAGAGACTCAACACCTGGGGTCCAGAAATTATGTCAAGACTCCCAACTAGAATTCAACTAGAAATGACTGCATGATCCTTTTTCTCAAGTCTCCTCATTGTATGTGTATTTGCATGTCAGTGTAAGTGAAGCTCTCTGAGCTTGTCACCTTCCAGTATGGGCTTACTGTAACTTGAGGCTCAGGGAAAAGGCTCAGTTCTATGTAGAAGCATGATCAAGCTTCCTCTTACACAGAGGACCTTCCCTTTCTCTGGAGTGTGGATTTATCTCAGTCAGAGAGGTGCTCCACTTTCTTTTTTAAATGCTGTTAGACTGTGTCTTCACAAAAAAGTTCAACTGAACTCTAAAGTGTATATAGAGCCAGTTTAATTGCTCTGCGTAATCATTTTATGATCATAATTTGATAGTATATCAGTTCTATCTCTACTCATATTTGGTTTGCTATAATAGAAACTAAGTCAAAGCCATTTAGATCAAGGCCTCAGGCAGAAATTAACTTGAATCTCAGACTAATATATTTTTTGTCTATTTACCTTGTGAGTAAAACAAATATTTTGAAGGACAGAGAATATGGGATACAAGGTCAGTAAAAAAACCATACCTGAGCCACAGACAACAAAAACAAACAGTGCCAACAGCCATGGTCCCACAGGGTATTTTTCTTCTTGCGGTCTCTAAAAGAGAATGGGAGAAAGTAAAATCGGGGTCATTAATTCAGGGAACAATAAGTACTGCTAGTTACTGTACTAGGAACTGAGGCTTCCACTGTGAATAAGACAGACTCAGTGTCAATGCCCAATGAGCAGATAGAGATGAATAGAGTCTGTTGTAAAGGATCAAGGTTTAAAAATATTCATCATTAACCTTACTTACATTGCTGTAACTCAATGAACTTGGTGGTCTTAAATAGTCTGGTGACAGGATATAAATACATAAAACCAATAATACAGTGATTTGGGAGCCAAAAATGATATTACTAATAATTACTTCCATTTGTTGAAAGCACACTCTATGTCAGATGCTTACTAAGAAGTCTACATCCACTATTTCCAGCACTCACAACCCCATGCGACTCTATTCTGTACTTGAGAACTGAGGCTCAAATTTGTTAGCTTGAGCAAGAGTTGGGATTCAAATTTATGTCTGCCTCATTACAGAGCCTGGGTGTTTTCCAATGACACATTCATTAAAAATTTTAAAAATTTATTAATTTGAGAAGAAGAGAAATATTGCTTTGTTGTTCCACTTTTTAATGCATTCATGGGTTGCTTTGCATTTGTGGCCTGACCAGATACTGAACCTGCAACCTTGGTGCATCTGGACGACACTCCCACCAACTAAGCTAGGTAGCTAGGGCCAACATATTCATTTTTAATTCTTGCATCTGGAATTCCAAGTAGGGTCACAGAGCATAGCCATGCTCTCAAAACCTTCTATATGCTAAAAAATTTGAGAAGGCAGTGCAGTGAAAATCCTTGAAATCACAGAAGTACCACAGCAGCTGTGAATGGATGTGAGGGAAGCAGCATTTGGTGATAAAATTCCTAATATTTGTGAAGCTTACACTTTGGAGAAATTTCTGCATTTCCTGGAATGCTGATGGGCGCTGTTGGACCCATGCCAATCTAGCCCTCCATACCTCCTGCCCTTCTCAAATTCAAAGCACAGATGTGATAAGAACGTCCCTCTGCACCCCTCCCTCTAGGTCTACTGCAGGTAGGGATTGGTCCTTAAAAATCAATTCAAATGATAGAAGAACAAGATTTTTTTGCCAGGCATCTGAAAACACAGTGAATTTCTCATTCACTGGGGGAGGGTAGAGTGAAAAACGTAGTACTCACTATTTGCTCATTAGTGTGAGCCCAAAATAGGCCATAGCCAAAACAAAAGTTAAAGAACTAATTTTATTATAGATAAGACAATAGTTATTTGGCTCACAGATTACTCATTAACTTTCTTAGAGAGTCTTCTCTCTTCTACCTCAATTGGTTCACTTTTCATTTATGTTGCCATGTACTTTTTCTTGATATGTATCACAGTTTGTATCTATTTATTTTTGTGATAATATGTTTAATGTCTGGCTCTCCTCTAGACTGCAGGCCCCACAAGAGCAGGTACTTTCTCTTTCACGTATCACTGTATAGCAATGCCTAATATAGAACTTAAACATAGTAGATGTTTAATAAGTGTTCATTAAAGAAGGAATAAGCACACAAGCTTCATTAAACATGATTTCTTAGGTCAGGTAAAGACAGAGTCTAGGAAGGATATTGTGTTTTTTAATATACTTCCTAATTAGTGATATGGTTATCCCTGCTTTTTTTTTTTTTAACTAGAGAAGTATGGATTCAAGTGTCAGTGGCAGGGAGACTCTAAAGATTGAAACCACTCCCTTCTCTGTCCTTGACAGGCTCATATCTGCCACGGCTCTTATTTGAGGGCAAATCACACTGCAAAGAAAGAGGTAGTTGCCCTTGACCAGACAAGGACAAAATCAACCTTAAATAATTGCATAAGATAATGTTAACTAGCATTTTTATTGTGTCATGCTTTAGCACTAAAGACCAGGTTAAGGTGAGGTCAAGTAAATAGTAGACATTAAATAAAGTTACCTGAACAAAGTGTGACATTTATCCCTTCTCATCCTCTTTCACTAACTTCCTAACAATTTGTCATGGTTGACCAAAAACCAACTCTGTTGCTGTCATCCTACTAAAGTTACATAAAATTCATTTTGCTTCATCTCCAGCAAAGCCGACAAGTGAATTCAGAAGCCTGTAAATGAATTATTGGTCTAGTCATGTACCAAATGAAGTCCTTTATTTTTTCTTTGCAGAAAAACACAAATTATAAAGCAGAACTTGGAGCAAAAAACCTTTTGACATTTCCCAGTGAAGCAATGTTATTTGGGGACTTACAGAGCTCAAGAACACCCTGGTGATCATAATACCAATATATCCTTTTTGAGAGTCTATGTTACTTTTGGGGGGGAAGTGGTGCCCAGCACAGTCCCACTGGGATGATTCACCTCACCCTGAATCTATTGCTGGGAAAGGTAAGAAAAGCAGTAGAAACTCACAAATGACAATGGTTCATTTCAAATGGGAGTTGCTATTTCCTGAGGCTCCAAAATGTCAGGGGATGGCTTTCCCTGTGATAACAGCAGGGTAACTCAGAACTCTGAAATTTAAATTCCCTCTTCATTTTGAAGAAGTTACTACTGTATAATCATGAAATGATTATTCCATTTCTCTGATTCTTGGCTTTATCTGCTACGTGGGAGAATAATACTGATTTACTCCATAGCTATTAGCTAGTAGTAAAATACTAAACATCTGCATACATTCAAAGGGACTTATTTCTCAATGATTAGTCCAAATTTTCAGTTAGAATCTGTTTATCTGTCTCCATTTATTGGATTTCATCTAAACAAGTTATCCCTTTTAAGTTAATTCTTTCAAAGTCTAATCATTTGGGCCTATAATTAGGAAAATAAAATTTAGGATTTAAAGTGTTGCTTTTTAAAAGAAAATTTCATATTTTGTTTTTGGATGTTGATCCATTTATAATAAGGTTAACCAAAATCTCTCTTAACCAAAGGAAAATAAACATATATTGTGGCTTGGTTTGGAAACCTTCCATTACAAAATTGGTAGGGCCATTTACAAATACTCACAGGCGCTAGACAGCTTTGAACGGCCTACTCCATGGTACACCAGAATTTATTAAAATGCACTCATACCATAGATTAAATATAATTTGAATGCAGTTCTGAAAGTTGTGTTGAGGTGAACCGCAGGTGATTACATTTTCTAGATAAACAGTTTGTCTCCAATATTTTCTATTTTCTTTTATTTTAGAGCAAATAGTTTTCATTTCAGGTCCAAAACAAAAATTACATGGTCCTGAAAAGCTGGAAGTGGCAGATACTGAGTTTACAAAGCCTAACAGATAAAACAGCTCTGCAAATTAGTTCCTGTTTTGTTGCTACTTTTACAGTCAGAGAAGTTGTCAACCAAGTTCACTTAACAACTGAATGCTGGTTCTTTAGTTCATTAAAAAGAATCGTACAACTAGAGATTTTCAATATTATCAGTTAGTGTATATGATATCCTAGAAAGAGTTGATATCCTAAGAATATAAAATCTTGAATAGTTAACATCAATTAGAAATTGTCAATGTTAATTTGAACAGCAAGTTTTTTTAAAGAATAAAAACAAATAGAGAAACATAGACCTATGTTATAGATGGTTCCAATTCAAAGGCACATTGGCATTTTGCTGGCCACTCATTACTAAATGGTCTAACTTTCAAGTGAGAGAATTTCAAGCATGATTTAAACCTGGAGCTGTGCATAAAGGCCTGAGTACAGCTGAGTTTGATCCTAAGTTTTCCCTGCCATAGCACTGCTTAGTTTTGCAAGCATTCTGGTCTAATGATTGTAGATTCAGCTTTTTGCTCAGTTAATCCAAGAGGCATCATTTCTTTGGCTAAAAGGACTTGTCTCATCAAGTCTGCAAGCTTTTTCAGCCAAACCCCAAGCTTCAGCTAGATTTTCATTTGAGTGCCTTTGCTCATAGTCTTGGAGACTCATACTGCTCAACAACTCATCCGAGGCATGCTTCTGAATGTCCAAAATCCTAAGTCTAGCATTTTCTGTTCAAGATAATTTGCACTGCTAAAAGAAACCCCAGTGCAAAAGGCACAGTTTTACTTAAAACTTGCCATAAAGCTTTAATCTACAGTTTTGAGGGCACAGAATGCCTGGCAATAAACTGGTTTCTAAAGTTCTGGATCATACCATTAGAACGAGCCTGAACTCACAGGGTGAACAAGAGGAAAGTTTCATTTAAACTTCAGCCCACACGTCAAAGGCCTCACTAGAGAAAAGGCAAAATAGGAGAATGGAGGGGGAAAGGGGCCAGAATTTCATGCCGCTTTTCCAACTTACACAGAGAGAACATTATAAAGGGACTGGAGAGAAAAACGTCGGCGTGTGTTGGTTGGGTATGTGCAAGGGGTGAAGCCTGGGAACGGGTGATGATAAATAGCATTCATTAATTCATTCTCTCACTCACTCACACACACATTCATCACTTATTTAACAAATATTCTAGCACCTAATAAGTTCAGGACCCAGTGTCAAGCAGTTGCCTTAACAGCTCCTGTAACTGCGATTGCCATCTTCCCTAGAGACAAAGGCCGAATTCTCGTTCCCGTGGTACCCCATCAGCCACCCCAGAAGGGTCTCGACCAACCAGGGTCCCCTCCGTTCATGCGCAAGACAGCAGCACCAAGGAGTACCGCGCCGGCCGGAGGATAGCTCTCCGAACCCACTCAGTCCGCCCCTCCGAACAGGCGGGTGAGGCGCAGAGGAGCTGGGAGGACCGGTCCTAAGCTCCAGGCCCACTTCTCTGGCCCCGCCCCGCCCCGCCCCACTCCCCTCCGCTCCACTCCGTGCCGCCTGTTCTATGGGCTCTGCACCGCCTCCGACTCACCAGGGTTTTGGCTACGTTCCCCCTCTGGGTGATGTTTTTACTGTGCTTCTCATTAGCCATCCGGATCCGCTGTTTGGCCACCATGGCTTGGGCTCTTGGAAATGCTTTCAACTCCCACCCGCAAGGATGCCCCGCGTGAGTCCCGGACCGAGCCGAGAGCTTCCGGTGAGCCCCGGGCGCTGCAGGTGGCGAGGCGCGGTCCCCGAGCCTCGCGTAGCCCGTTCCCCAATCCCCAACGAGTCGGCTCCAGAGAGAGGCCGGAGCTCGGACGGAAGTAATCTTTCATCTCAGGAAACCCTCTCCTACTTCCTCGCCATCCTTCCGGTCCCCCCAGCTAGCTAACCAGCGTGGCCGTAGGCTGCGCCGCTGCAGAGCAGTGCGCGGACCCACTGGGGCTGGGCCCGGGCAGGGGACGCGGCGGGTCCGAGGGTTCGGCAGGTGCGGGCTTTGTGTGCTCATAAGGGATGCGATTTCAGCCGCTTGTGGGTTCCTCTCGGCCAGGGATCTGCCAAATCCCGGGGAAAGGATTGGAGTGTGGGTGCACCTGCACCGCTGTCCCCCAGGCCAAGGGCTGGACCAAAAGCCACGGTCGGATTAATCGGTCGGGGGGCGGAGGCGTCCTCAAGAGACAAGTAGAACCAGCAGCACACAGCTGAACCCCATGCTGTTGTGGAACAGTCCAAAGGAACATCCCCTTAAAGTGTCTGGGGAAGGCCCCTGTGCTAGGGAAGCCCACTGCAGGATCTTTCTCAAATACTGCAGAAAGGGCCAGAACTCCCCAGAGATGAGAATAAGGGGCAATGAGAATGGAGGTTGGACAGGTCTTCTTGCCTTAGTAGGTATGAGGGTTACAAGGAAGACAGGCCTGCAACACATCTGAATGAAACTTGGAGAAAGGATGAGGAGGTCATGGGCCTGTAGCCCAGGTCAAATTAGGTAGTCACGACCCAAATGTGGGTAGCTTTGAATAGCTTTGGCTCCCTACCTGCCGCAAGCAGCCAGGATTTCCTCCTGCCACTCCCAAGGGAAGTGAACTGGGAAATTTCCTGAAGTACAGCCATACATCTCAAAGATTTATGTGACTCACAGACATTCCTATTAGGGCCTTACAGATTGCCTAGTTGGGTGGGAATGAGGGGAAGGGGTTCAGTCCTTTACTTTTCTACATGCTATCAGATTAGAGTTAGCTCTTAGAAGCTTAGAAGAGTTGAGAAGAGGTGAAACTTCAGCTTGGAAGATTTGGGGCAGTAAGGAAGCTGTAGGGAAGAAGAGCTGTGGCTTTCGGCCAGATTTGGCTAATGTGCCCCCCGCCCTTCCCTTGCAGGCATTTGTGGCTATGGTTGTATAGGGTTTGTATGGGTAAAATTCCTCTGTGTCAGTGGGAAGTTAATGAGAGCTCCTTTGTTTTCTTTCAGGGCCCTTTAATAGGCTCATCCCCATTTCTCTCGCCACTTCGTATCATTCGAGCTTTAATACAAACTGCTCTGGGGCTGCTTTTGGTAACTTAGAAGACAGAATTTCTCTCAGGTTATTAGTAAAGTTTAGTCATTCTTTTTTCTACTCTAGAATTCAGGTGAGTTTCCAGACTGGCTTCTATCAGCTTAACCATTACCACCACCATTACCACCATTATTACAGGATCACAAACAAAGTAGGCCCAACTCTAGTCCCAGGCTTTCAGTAGCAATTGACTTTGGGAGGGGTGGGTAGAGGGATGGAGGGGGCACCAGTACATCAGTGACTCTTGCTGAGCCTGGCTGTGTACAAGGGCTAGCAAAAGTCCTGGGCAGGAGGCAGAAGGTAGGTCCTCACCTGGGTGGAGTACAGACCTGGCTCTGAGGTGTTCCTGACATTAAAGAAAAGATACAGAGATGGTTTTCCCTTTGGGCCTGTGAGAGGGACAGCTTTGTTAAATGAGAAACCTACCTTCCCACAAGCCCAGGTGAGCTGCCTTATTTGGGAAAAAAATTATCTTAACCCCTGATTCCTGATTGTTAATGACCAATTTTACTCCTTTACTTGATGTACTTTTATAACATTTTAAGTTAGTTTAGTTACAAATGCACCACAGGTGACAAATGTTGTAGACCGCTCTGCCTGGTTCTAGGAATTGTATCTCTTGTGGCTAAGGGCGAGGGACGACCTTTGGAATGTGAGCTGCAGGAGATAAAGCTTGTGTCTGGTAGCAAATGCTGCCTCAGTTTCCTCTCCCTGCCCCCAAAGCTTGGTCGGAAGTCAATGATGGGTAAGACTCCCTCACAGCGGGAGGGCAACCTAAGCCAGACTTGATCACTTGGGAGGCCTTCATGGAAGGCCTCAGGGGGCTGCAACAAAGAGCAATGGACTCTCGCCGCCCCCCCCCCCGCTTTGACATAGCCCAAGTCCCCATGTCCTCTGGGAGAAGCACTTCCTGGCTCTAATCCCTTTAAGCCTGAATACCTGATGGAGAGAGGTACAGCTCCTTGCCTTGCTAGAGTGTGTCCTGGGGAAAAATCTGGCATCACAGAGACTTCCTGATAATCCTGTGAAATCTGCTCTGCTAAGAGTGCTTTCATTCATATATTAAGGGTTCCAGCAAGAAACCCTAAAACTCTGTTCCTGACAGACTGACTCATACTAAGATTTCTTTGAAATGTTATCTACTGTTTGATCCTTGCCGCCCTGTATTCCTGTGTATTAGAACCTAATAAAAGCCTCCAGACAAGGGAGCTCAACACCAGAAACTGGCCACTGCTCATGGCCTTTTTCCTCTGGGAAAATGGTTACTTCTCCCTAAGCAGATCACGTCATATCTCAGTCATGATTACTCATATCCGTGGCACTCAGGGGGACTTGGGAGGAAAGTCTCCCCCACAGACAAACACAAGGTCTGTGGGCTGAATCTGGCCCTCCACCTTGTTTTATTCGGCCCAGCACCTTGTTTCTACCTGGCAGCAGCACTGAACTCTCACTTAACTGTTAAGGAGTAGTTACATTTATGCAGTCCTAAAATTACATTCAGCCCTTTGAAGGCAACCGTGAGGCTGATGTGGCCCCCCGATGAAAATGAATTGACATCCCTGAGATATACTGTATTCCCACAGTAAACATTCAAATAGAAAAAGGATATAAAGTGAAAAGTAAAGGTTTCCACTTCCTTGCCTCCCAGCCACTAATTCCAAAGGTCTGTAGGCTGCCCCTCCAGCATTTTTATTCATACAGAAGGCTTCCTACAGTCCTTTATTAAAAAAACAAAACAAAATTATACTATACAGTTTGCCATTGAATTTATCACTTAATTTATTGACAATATTATTACATCTCATGTCACCCTTTTTTAAAATATAGGTGCCTAGGACCTCATAATATGATTCTACAGTAACATGTTCAACTAATTTTGGATGGTTATTTCCAGTTTTTTTGTTGTTTGTTTTTGTGGTTGCTGACAGTGCCTTAGTAAATACCTCTGTATGTGTATCATTATGCACTCATGCAAGTATATATGTGGAACAGATTGCTGGAAGTGAAATTGCTGCACCCTTGCATGTCCTTTGGTAGTTCTGCTGCTGGTTTTGGATGGGGCAGCCTCCTGCTGTGGCCTCCACTTTACCCACCTATCCCCAGCTTTTGCCCTCTGCAGCCAGGCCTGCTCCTCTGAGGGTCTTGGTTTTGTTTGTTGCCTTGTGGGTCACCATTCTTGATGAAGGAAAGTTTTCCTTCCAAGCATGAATACCATCCCTTCCTCTGCACAGCCATGTATTGAGCCACTCATCCCAGAGGCCCTTCTGTAGGGCAGCGGGGGCCAAGGTCTGAAGCAGTGTCGCTGCAGTTCCAGAGGAACCACATGGTTAAGAGTGAGGAAGGCCTGGGGTCACCTTGCTTTTTTGAGGTGGGGAGGACTTCTGGCAGAATGGGAGGGGAATGGAAACTTGATCAAGAGTTAAACTTCTTTGAATAGAGGAAGATGTGGATGGAGTAGGAGGGAACAGATTCCACTATCCCCTACAAAAGGGAGAAAAACCTGGCCCATCTATGGAGGAACAGAGTAACCATCCAACAGTACCCCAGCATATATGAAAATAAGAGACCAAAAATTGTAGTGGACACTGAAAAACCAGATGGTAAGGAGACGGCTACAGGACAATAAGGTCCCAGGGACCAGCTCGGGGACAAGGGTGGTTGTAGCTCCAGGCCTGGCGCCTTCGCCGGGTCTGCCACAGAGTCCTTGGGAGAGAGCCGGGTCAACTGCTCCCTCCCTCTCCTGCCAAACAAGGTTTAAGCAGCACCTGGAGAGACCTGGTTGCTTGAAGTCACAGAGAGGGGAATAAGGACAAAGAGGAAAACACACAGGGGCGGTGATCACCCGTGAAGTCTGTGGTCACCGGCTTGAGAGAGTTGAGAGTCACTCAGTGACGGGCACTGACCCCGATAGTCACTGGTCTGACTGAAGAATTGGGCTGTATGGAGCAGCAGAGTTTAGTAGGAGGAATTTCTCAAAAAGAAAAACTGTGGGGAATTCTCCTGCAACAGCCACTCAGCCTACTTCCTTCCCAGCTGGGCAGTGATCCTGACCTTCAGCGAAAGGTTTCGAGGAAGGCTGTGAGGAAGGCCCTGCGCACCCCCATAGCACTGGGAAGAGTTTGTGCCCGAACCCACCAGACCCAGGCAGCCTGGCTAAGTGCGCATGCCCGCACCCCAGCCCACAGCGGTAACCCCCAGAAAAAAGTGCTCTGAGGAAGACCTGGGTCCTACACCCAAGGCACCTGGGATAGGTGCCTGGCTAGATCTAGGGAGAGTGTGTGCAAAACCGGCTGCATACAGACCAGAAAGGGAGAAAAGCCATACCAATTGCCCTTCAGCCTGCTACAGCCCACAAGACCAGAAAAACCTGTTTGGCCAGTTTGAAACCAACAAGAGGTTTTTTTTTTAGTTTTGTTTTGTCTTAAGTAATCTTTTATTTTTAAATTTTTATTGTTATTTTATCTTTCAGTACCTTTTTCCTCTCTTTCCTTCTTTCTTGTTTTATTCCTTCTTCCTGTCTTTCCAATTTTATCTTTTTTACTCCTTTCTCTTGCTTTTTAATTCTTTTTAATGCACACAAATGA